AGACAAATGTGTTGAGACATAAAGGGAAGTATATTTTATCTTTTTCTAATTGTAAAAATAAACATTTATTACAAATTTCAGAAAAACATGCCTTTTAAAACAATTTTTGACAACAGGCTGTCAGCAAAAAATGTGATTAGGGAAGAATATTAGTTAACATGTGATAGTATACTCACCTCTTCAATCATACCACTGGTTATTTTGGAAAATGTAGTAATGTTAGCTCTAAGAACTTTAGACATAGCTGTATGTTTGTGGCATGATTTGCCTTTCATGTTTTATTGATTTCCAAGTTTAAAAGTATAAGCACAAAGGATGCTATTTTATAATGAATAACATGCACATTCTAAGAAAATTCTTCTCTTTTAGTGAAGTCTATGGACTCTTCCTTTCTGGTTCTACGTTACTTTATGTTATTATTGTTATAAAGTTTCTATTATTGAATATTTAAACCCTCAGGACACAATTATCCTTAAATTTTTCTAAAGAAAAGATATCCCTCCAAATTTTTTCAACATTGCATTTTTGGCCCCTTTTCTGAAAAAGGATAGAGCTTAAGTTTAATTAATATTAAATTTTTTTAATGTGCAAAAATCTAACTGCTTTTTAAAACAAATATAAGGAATGAAAATATGGTACTATTCCAATAATCGAATGGCAATAAAGATGGCACAGTAGAAAGATTTAAGCAAATCTTAAATACAACAAACTTGTAATTAGAACACAATGCTATGATTTGATTTTAGTGCGAAAAAAGAAGCTTAATTTGGTATAAAAGAAACCAAATATTGTACTATATTGAATACTAAGCTAAGTAACCACAATTAATCTTACAAATTCTCTAATTTCATAAGGACTTTTGAATAGCTAAATTTAAGCCTCATTTTTTAAACTAAATGCCTATTCAACAAATTGGAATAAACGCATTTATGCAAATTTACATTCTAGAATAACAGAAAAAGGAGACATTGTTTAAAGATGAATTAGAAAGTTCTATTCTTTTTTTTCTTCATGAGTGTGATCAGGTTGCAAAGGACATAATTTTCTCTTTGCTTTTCCTGAGCCACTGAATCCTTCCTTTTCAAAAATCTGATTCTCTTTTTCAGAATCTTTAGAGGACAGCCTGAAGAATTCTCCAATTTGTTTTTGCCATGTGGGAGTTGGGCGCACACAAACTGGATTCTCTACTGCATACGTATTTTCAGCTTTCCTTAATGAAAGTGATGAATAATTAGTGTGTGTGTGTGTGTGTGTGTGTGTGTTTGTGTAGCAGGGGACCAACTACCTTCCTGGGGGCTCAAGAAGCCACCACTTTTCTGTAGGTGCCCAGGACGCTGCTTTAATCCACTCCATGTTCAAAAGGGAGGAGACAAAGAGTAACAAACTGGCTTCCCAGCTGAGAATGATTTCCTGGACGAGGAACTAAGACAATGTATTTTAAAAGACCCAAATATAACTTCTAGAGATGAAAACTATAATGGCTGAGATGTAAAAAACGTTGGATAGGGCTCAGCACCTGTAGCACAAGTGGCTAGGGTGTCAGCCACATACACCGGAGCTGGTGGGTTTGAACCCAGCCCATGCCCGCCAAACAACAATAACAGCTGCAACCAGTAAATAGCTGGGCGTTGTGGCAAGTGCCTGTGGTCCCAGCTACTTGGGAGGTTGAGGCAAGAGAACTGCTTAAGCCCAAGAGTTGGAGGTTGCTGTGAGCTGTGATACCACAGGACTCTACCCAGGGCAACAGCTTGAGACTCTGTCTCAAAAAAAAAAAAAAAAGTTGGATAGAATTGACAGCAGATTAGATATTACAGAAGATTAGTAAACTTGTAGGCACAGAAATATAGAGGAGAAGAAAAGAGTCCAAAAATTTCAACAGAGTATTAATAAGTTCTATAGGACTATGTCAAGTAGCCTAATATATATACAATGCGTGTCCCCAAAGGAGCAGGGTTGAAGAAAGATTAAAAAAACTTTAAGAAATAAAAGTCAAAATAGTTTTCAAATTTGATGAAAACTATAATGTGACAGACTAAAAAAATTCAAGTATAAGAAGTATGAAAAAAATACATCAAGTCAAATCATAAACTGTTCAAACAGGCGATAAAGAGAAAATGTTCAAAGGAACTGGTGGGGAAGATGATCTATACAGACAAACCAAGATAAAAATAACAGATTTCTCATTGGAAACAGTAAAAGAAAGAAGAAAGTGGACCAATATCTTTAATATACTGAAGAAAGAAAACAGCCCTGTCAACCTACAATTTTTGTGGCCAGTAAAAATATCTTTTTGTTTTTTTTGAGACAGAGTCTTACTCTGTCGCCCTGGTACAGTGCCATAGTTTTTGCTCAGGCTGGTCTTAAACTCCTAAGCTCAAAGGATCTACCCACCTCAGCCTCCCAGCATGCTAAGGTTCCAGGCATCAACTACTACACCCGGCTACCCGTAAAAATATTGAATACTAAGCTAAGTAACCATACTTAATCTTACAAATTCTCTAATTTCATAAGGACTTTTGAATAGCTAAATTTAAGCCTTTTTTTTTTTTTTTTTTTGCAGTTTTTGGCCAGGGCTGGGTTTGAACCCACCAACTCCGGCATACGGGGCCAGCACCCTACTCCTTTGAGCCACAGGTGCCACCCTTAAGCCTCATTTTTTAAACTAAAGCCTATTCAACAAAGCTAATTGGAACAAACACATTTATGCAAATATACATTCTAGAATAACAGTAAAAAGGAGACATTGTTTAAAGATGAATTAGAAAGTTCTATTCTTTTTTTTTTTTTTTCCCACACTGTAAGCAAAGTTAATGAAAAATCTTTAGGCAGCAAGAAAAACTGTATCAAGAAATGTTACATAACATTTATAGTATAGCAGCCCTTAAAAGTAGCATATGATAAATTAAAGACTTAGTGGCGCTAAAGTAGCCACTAAAATAACAAAGAATTATAGCCAATAAGCCAACAATGAGATAAAATAGAATCATAAAAAGTATTCAATCCAAAAGAAAGCAAAAAGATGGAAAAGGGAACACAGGAGAGATGAGACATACAAAAAACAAAAAGCAAGATGATTGACTTTAACCTAATCCCAGCAATGACCACATTAAAATGGTCTAACCATGCCAATGAAAGAAAGAGATTGTCCAGTGGAATAAACAAAGCAAGATCCAACTGTATGCTGCCTTTAAGAGACACCTAAAGGGCTCGGCGCCTATAGCTCAACCGGCTAAGGCGCCAGCCACGTACACCTAAGGTGGCAGGTTCGAATCCCCAGCCCGGACCCACCAAACAACAATGACGGCTGCAACCAAAAAATAGCGAGGCATTGTGGCGGGCACCTGTGGTCCTAGCTACTTGGGAGGTGGAGGC